CCAAAGTCACTCTAAAATGTGAATCCAGAAAGTGGATGGAACTGTTGTTTGACATATTTTTGGCCACAGGAGACCATACCAGGAGTACATTATAGTGGCTCGACTCCAAATAATTTTCACATGAATTACTAAAGTGCCATAAATGTATAATTTATTAGCATTTAAATAAATCACAGAGACCATGAGTGCTTTAAAGTTATCAGCATAAAGATGCACAGAATATCAAATTATAATTACTTAAAAAAGGTTCTTCAGTACAATAACCTCATGTGTACTATATTGCATGTTCAAAACAAGATGAGCAGAGTTAAGCACCAAGATGATCATAGCCATTTTCAGACTGTGCTCTGGAGAAGCCTTGATAAAGTTTATCGGGAGATATTCAGTGAGCAGATAAGGTCATGGCAGGCAAACTTCTCTGGAAGGTGGTTCACTCACTACAAGCTGCCAGTGCTGCAGTTAAGTTAAGTAATTGTAGACCAGGGCGGGGAAAGAACTTGTGGCCCTCCAGAGTTGTTGTTGGGCTCCACTTTTCTTTCATCCCAGCCAGCATGACCAATGGTCAGGGATTATTGGAGTTGCAGCCCAACATCACCTAGACATTCCCTACTGAGTGGTCACCTGAGGGTGTGTGTGTGAGAAAATGAGCTATTGCTTTATCTTGCTAGGAAAAAAACAACTGGGAAAGACGCAATCCACCTAGTCTAATTCTGTCACTTACCCCGTTTTCACAGCCAAAACTCAAAGGACAAAAATGACCCATGTGAAGAGCAACTTAGTTTATTCACTTTGATATCCTTCCTTCAAATCACTGTGGTTGGAGTGCACTGGGAAGATTATTCAATCAATCAATCAATCAATCAGTCAGTCAGTCAGTCAGTCAGTCAATCAATCAATCATTGCATTTGTTTGCTGCCTTTTTAAAGTTAAAACTATGCTCGAGGCGGCTTGCAACATGTAAAAAAATTACATAACTACAACCATAACTAAAGTAGTCATAAACAATCATTGAAACATCAAAAAATACACAACCAATTTGAACGATGAATCATGAGATTCAAAATAAAGATACGAAAAATTAACGTCAACAACACCCAACAACCCCCACCCACTTTTAATCACTGTGATTAAAAACTGGACCTGTCCATCAAAACAAAAGACCCTGCCCCAATTCTTTCACCCCATGTCTCCTGACTAATTTCTCAGAAAAGAAAAGAGGGATGGGGGCGGCCATGTGCTTGACATTTTAGAAATGCTGAAGCAACAGAGCTACTCCAAAGTTGAGGATTCCCTGATTCACCCTGATGTGCCTTGTTAACAATGCAATCCAATATGGGAATGTGAGAGTCTGCCTTGAATCATCCCAATTTACCTGGTTATTTGGAATACACAACGAGCCAATGCACATCCCTAGAATACACTGTCTTGAGAAGTGCCATGCTGATGAGAGCTTTCAAATAATTGTGGCTAATTGCACAATTTAAGTAACGTCCACACCATACTTTTAATTCACTCCTACACTACTTTTAACAGTCGTGGCTTCCCCCAAAGAATCCTGGGAAGTATAGTTTGTTAAGAGTACTGGGAAGCAAAGCTCTGTGGGGGGGATAAACTACAGTTCCCAGGATCCTTTGAGGGCATCTGTGACTGTTAAAGTGACATAAGCCTCTTTATGCAGCATTCTGAACCTTCAAAAGCTACGTATTTCATAATATGTTGGGATTCCAGTATGGCCTAGGTGCGGGTGTATCATAAATGCTCCTTTTTAATCTTTATGCAAACGTGCCCACAAATACACAAGGCTCTTGCTAAGCAACCTGGCCGTGACATTGAGAGCCAGTGTGGTGTAGTGGTTAAGAGCGGTAGTCTCGTAATCTGGTGAACCGGGTTCGCGTCCCCGCTGCTCCACATGCAGCTGCTGGGTGACCTTGGGCCAGTCACGCTTCTTTGAAGTCTCTCAGCCCCACTCACCTCACAGAGTGTTTGTTGTGGGGGAGGAAGGGAAAGGAGAATGTTAGCCGCTTTGAGACTCCTTAAAGGGAGTGAAAGGCGGGATATCAAACCCAAACAACTCCAAACAACAACATTGATCTAGTAGTTCCCCAAAATTACACAAAAAAGAAAAAAGAAAAGATTGAGGCACTTGCCTATCGATGCTGAAAGCATGGAGTATTGTTGGCGGGAGGATCCTGTGTTCTGAACACTGTGTCAAGGCAGCCCAGCTCAACATGCAACATCAGCCTTTTCTATCGAAACACTGCTACAAATATATAAAATTGAAATCCTCAATAACTGAAAGAAATTTATGAATGTTTATTTTACGGTACGTCTAAATGGCTAGCTGAAAGAAAATAATGCAAACCAGTATGAGCAATGTCTAAAAAACTGAAAGATCATCATAATCTGTCTTGCTGCTGCAAAGGCGCATTTCAGTTTATATTGAAAACAAAATAAAATGGCCAAAAATATTATGAAGTGCATCACATTTCTTGGGCGGACATAGCTAGGGTCACAACAGATATTGCTTTTAAATATGTTTATCTGCAGATTAACATAAAGACTGTTCTGTAGAGTCTCCAATAAATGGGATTTGTTTTCTGCGTTGCCCTCCTCCCAGGGGATCTGAGCTCAGATTCAGCTTGCAGATGAAGATGGATGAAGTTAAGTCTGACAGACATAAATAATGCAGCCTGCTAGAAGTAACACTGTACCATAGCTAGGTGCACCTCCTTTCAGGGGAGGTGGGATACAGGTAGGAATGGATAGCTTTTTCCAAGTGCTCACTCAGAGAGGTTCACATCATTATCTTAGTTATCTTCATAATAACCCTGTATGGAAGATTATTACCCCCACAATCCACATGGGAGAAAGAGCATGGCCGTCACATAAAACCATTCACCATTTTTGTACCTTCTTTTCTCATGTATTGCTTCTTCCAATACTTTTGGGTCTTGCTCGTGAGGATGGCGAGCTCTTGTACAGACAAGGCCCGAAAGCCAACAGACACACAATGCTGACCTGAGATCTTTTGCTGCTCGAAGCAGGGATGAGGTAGGACCCAGATAGCACCCAGAGGTGGCCTGACTACAAGCAAGCCTTGAAGGCTTTTCAGCAGAGGTTGGATGGTCGTCTGTCATGTATGATCTGGCTGAGATTCCTGCATTGCAGGTTAGGCTAGATGACCCTCAGGGTCCCTTCCAACTCTACAATTCAATGATTCCATGCCACGTTGGGGTTTGTAAAAGCCTTTCAGAATTTCCCTCAGTTTTATAGAGAGCATGAAGACACATCATGCCCTCAGATTACAGATTCAGTGATGTAGTTAAGTCTTTCTGCTCTCAGTAACAAAAAATTAAGGAATTCTTTACCACTGTTATGCAGGTATCGAAGTACTGAAGATTAGAAATAAAGGCCATTTGCGGTGGTGGATTAGAGCAAATTTAACATGTACATGTTAAATTCTAGGGACGCAGGTGGTGCTGTGGGTTAAAGCCTCAGCGCCTAGGACTTGCCGATCGAAAGGTCGGCGGTTCGAATCCCCGCGGCGGGGTGCGCTCCCGTCGTTCGGTCCCAGCGCCTGCCAACCTAGCAGTTCGAAAGCACCCCTGGGTGCAAGTAGATAAATAGGGACCGCTTACCAGCGGGAAGGTAAATGGCGTTCCGTGTGCTGCGCTGGCTCGCCAGATGCAGCTTGTCACGCTGGCCACGTGACCCAGAAGTGTCTCCGGATAGCGCTGGCCCCCGGCCTCTTAAGTGAGATGGGCGCACAACCCTAGAGTCTGTGAAGACTGGCCCGTACGGGCAGGGGTACCTTTACCTTTACTAACATGTACATATTTCTCATTAATCTTCTACACAGAAAGATCTAGGCTGCATCGAACTTCTAAAAGTGTTCCCAACTGCCAGGGCAGTTTTTCAGAAATAAAATTGTGGGGGGAGGGGATCTTTATACATGTAACGGTGAATATTATCACAAAAGCTCACAAGCTGCTTCAAGACCAGAATGGTAAATCATTCACAAGCACAGTGGGCAACCTCGGAGAATTTAATTTCTCACAGCCTAACAATGGCTCCCTGATAGTGCACTAGCATGGGCCAGCCTAATTTAGGAATTACTGTTCTTCCGTGTCTTAGCTCTTAAAAGGTATGGCCTAAAAACAGAGGAAGCAAATATTACGCAACCTAGCAGATCTAGGTTGCCTAGATGCAGAATTGTCTAGAAAATGTACCTTACCTTGAGTTCAAAGATATACAGGCAAATCTGTTTTCATAAATTACTGATGTTTTCTTGCTTTTGCCGTGACGTGAATTTCAGAATAGTGAACAATATCCTTCAGTTACTATTGTCCTAATACTTGATATCTTACTATCCCTCCCTCTTTACCATCGTCATCAAGAGAACTCCACTACCCATTTTATTACAGTTAAGTTGGAGGCAAACAAGATTAAAAAGCATACTATTCATTTTATCCATGTAATAAAAAGTGAGCTTTACGGCTGTATTAATTTTATAGATGATGATGATGATTATTATTAGTAAGCTGCCTCCCAAACAACACAAATTCATTGGAAAGGTGAGGTAAAATAATTTTCCAGATCAGAATAGTTAAGTTGGGGCAGGGCAGTTAAGTTGTCCAAGAATTTTCCTGAAGGTTCTGTCACAAATCTGCTGTTTATCTCAAACTGCCCTTCCTGAGAGGAAATAGCAAAATTCTGAGGTAAGCATTCACATCTGTCACAGGCTTAACCAACCTGTATTACTTCAATAAAGATACCCAACATTTTACCACAAAAGAACTGCACCTTCTCTCCAACTGCTTATGTCTATGCGTATGAATATGTATACGTATTCACACACACTCTGCACCAAGCACTCACACGAGTATATCTCGGAAGAAATGAAGCAATACAGCTCTTTTTCTGATTATAATTTTTTGGGAATGGCTATTTTTCCAAATTTCAATTCAATTCAATCTGTTTTATGCCTTTTTCATTTGTAGTTTTATGCCATTCCATATTCTTTCTTTATTGCAAAAAAGTCAACATGCATCTTAGAAATTCAGAGTGTAATCAATAAAACAAACATTACATGTATGAATTTAAATGTATAAACAGTTAGAAATCCAACAATATCTCCTAATATACTATTACACAAGTTCACAATCTTGTAAAAACTATAATACAAGTTTACTATACATTGAGAGGAATTTACCATTCCTTTTCACATGATTTTGTTAAAAACTGTTGAAGCATCTCCACTGTATGTGGGCATATATTTTTCAAATCAGTTTTCAGATGCTAGGCTTTTTTATGCTCAAGGATTTAAAACAAACCAACCAAAATTTTTATACCACAGTTTAATTGACAGCTTATATAGTAGAAGCATTAATATCTGTAGAGGTTGAGGGGGGTGATTCACTGACCATTTACATTGTGGCATTCGTCTGGATTGCAATGGGATTACACACTAAGTGGTCAGTGAAGTGGTACTCCTTGTGTAGTAGCCTTTTATTTCAGATTGATTTATCATTCTCAAGTCACTTAGTAGGTATTATATTATGCTCTCCATCATAGCTTATGAATGCAGAAGTGACAATTCCACAGCAGTAAAAAATGAAGTGTTACCAGAAGTTACCTACCTAGAAACACAAATGGTATCCTACTAAGTTCTAATACACAACACAGGGAGATCCATAGCTATGTCAAAATGAAGGTCACTTTGAACTAGTTTTCCTTTCTCCTTTGTATTAAGTGAGTTACTACTATGCTGCCCATCACTTACATTCTCAGTAACGTAATAGTATGCTTTCAATACATGGGTTCAGGGGCACAACTCATTTTTGTGCTTCTGGCCTGAGAAATCACATTTAAGATGTCACCAGAGGATTTATGTAAGCCAACAAATATTTTAAAAGAAAAGAGAAGGGGGGAAAAATCCCCATTAAATAAATATTTTCCCCATGGCCCCTAATCTTTCTCGCTCCCCATGAAAAAAAAGCCAACACTCTGAGCAAGGACATCCATCCTGTTCTGAACAGTGTGCTAACAAAATGTTATTTTAAAACCATATGAAAAGGAATCCTATCCGGTCTACCTGTGCCAAAGGCTATTGAAATTTCTCTTACAGCTTCATTCACTCACTGTAATCTTCCGGATACAAAAATACAAGAATTCTTATGGAAATCTAGATGCTGGTAGTTTTAGTACACAAAAAAAGCAAAATATTTACACAATTATACAGTTTTAAGAAAACCCTGTACAATATATATATACACATATATAAATCCTTTGTTCCCTCTATCATTTGATTAAACTGTTCAGATTCAAGCATTTTGCTGCAATGGGTCAGTATATGTGATGGCCACATACTGAGTCACAGGCATTCCAAAGACATTGCAGGCAATGGGGGGAAGAGCAAGGCTTTGCCTGTTACGGTGTGCAATATTCGTGCTTTCTTCTTCTAACGTAATTCACTGAGATTAAACATTAGTCGGAATGTAGCAATAATCTAGAAAACAAAGGTCTTTGTGTAAAGGGCAAAAAACTGCTGACAAATTACACTCCTCTCCAAGTATGACTTGGAATTTAAATTGATACTACTTTGGACTTTACATACCACAACACACACAACAGTACCCAAAAGAATAGGAAGAACAGAGTGCTTGACTTTATGTGGCTAGCCGAGATCTAATGTAGTACTTCTGATACTTAAGAGAGGGTAAAGTACCATTTGCAGTAATACATTTTAATAGAAAACTTCAAAAATAATAGTTGTTTTTTTAACTTGCTTGCATTAGTGTTCCAGTACCACAGGAGTTGAGAACAGTACTGTTTGCTCTGCTTCTTTGACTCTAACATTCAGAACGCTGTGGCATAACATACTTTCCTATATAAAATGGCCCTACTGTGTACTGGCATAGTACAGAGGCACCAAGAGTGTGTGTGTGTGGGGGGGGGGGGGAATCTACAGGACAATGTGCTTAGGCTTAACAGAAGCAAGTGACACATGAGTTGAGTATGAAGATCTATTGCCCTAGAAAGCCAAAATAGTTTAATATGGTTTCTATCGCAATCTACCCCAGCTACTGTTAGGTGCTATAAAAAAAGTGGTGTGGGGGAAGGAAGGGAAAGCATAACCAAAAAGCATGGAAATAAAAAGCATCTAAGTTAATCAGTCTCTTTTCAACATTTCTTTTACCAAAGTTGCTCTCTTTAGAGTTAAGCACAATATTATTAGAAGTGATGGTCTCATATCATTTTAATGATTTTTCTAAAAAAGACCTAGGGCTTTCTGTGTTTAAAAAAAGAACAAGTTGCTTTGAATACTGTGGAGGCTTGACCTAAAAAGGTTAAAAAAAAAAGAAGCAGCTTACTTAGCTACAAAGGACAAAAAATGAACTCAAATGGCTGGACACTTTTAAAAGCACTTAGATGCATTTATTTATACCAGCTATTCATCAAGCACTAACTGCTCTGTTCATTTTAATAGGATTCATGCAGGAGGTCCATGGATGCTCCATGAAAGTAAACGTGGAATTCACAGAGCAGTGGTAAGCTGCACCCAAAAAGTAGTAAGGCTGGGCTATGTCTGAAGATTAGATTGAGAAGAACTGCCATATTAGACAAGAGCAGCTGTCATTGATGTGGACTTGTTTGAATGTGGAAATTGGCAGCATTGCCCTGTAATTCTGCTAGATAGCTGAATGGTATAATCCACAGTAAGATTCGGAGCAATTCTAGACAGGAGTGAAACTCAAACTGGATAACTTGTCTGCCACCTAACTAAGGAGTCGACTTTTGAATTACCAAATTCCAGGAAATGTTGACGTATAAATGAACTTCACAGAAAGCTCTCATCTCACACTCTACATTACTAAATAAAGCCTATAAAGCCATTGATAGCTTGAAAAAGGTCCATATTTTAAAAACAAAATAAACACAAGTTGGGCTTGAAAGATTGATACATTCCATCTTCAGAGGATCACAACCACCTTTGCAACACTTAGCCTTCGGCTGATCGTGGCTACTTATTTGTTAAGTTTAATATCTCAAACTCACACTTGCTTTCTTGTGTGTATGAAAATAAAAACAAAAAACAAAAACAATTTTTGGCTCATTGACTTCCTTTAAATATTTTTTTAAAAGTTTTAGTTCAACAATTCTAAAACTATTGATTCCATTTCAAGTTTCATCTTCTCCAGGAACGAGATTCATCTTCGTCTTCGTCTTCGTCGTCATCATCTTCAGGCAAAAATAAATCTGAAGCTTCTGTCTCCTGAATAAAGACAAAATATAATATGCTTATTTTTTTAATGTACGATACCACAATAGTCAGTTGCAACCTTTTGGTCCATATCAGTGATTCTACTTGACTTGAAAAATGTGGGCAAAATTTTCCATTGGATATTCCTCTGTATACGCTACATGCCAGGGTTAAACATGCAGAGAAAACACAGCAAAAATGGAGCTGGGTGGTGAAATGTGACAACTGAATCTGAGTGCTCTGAAGTGATTAGAGAGCATAATGGACAGGGCTTTCTCAGCTGCGGCCCCTACCTTATGAAACGCCTTCTCAAGGGATGTGGTGGCCACTTCAGCTTAAAAAAAACACATTTCAAATAGCCTTTATGTGTCTTATTGGTCATGCAATTGTTTTGTGGCTCTGGAAATGACTTTTGTATTTGCTAAAATATACTCTATTTTTTGATTATATAGCATCATAATAAACTATAAAGTAATACAGCTTTGAGTATTATTTTAACAGAAAAAGCAAGGTATAAATATCAAATTAATCTAATATAATTATAATATATTCTTGTGTTTTATGCTTGTAGTTTGCTTGGCACCTTGGGTGGACTTGGTCCAGAAAGGTGGTGTATAAATTGCTAAAGAATTAAAAACAACCAACTGTCCACCATCTGATTCATGCTGTGCAGTTATGAACCAAATTAAAGAACAGGAGGATTTAGTCACAAAACGGCGAGAATGCAAACAACCTTAAGGTTCTCCTAAAAATACCTTAAGCATTCAGAAATGCCTTTCCAGGACAATTCCTATAATGAGCTCAAAACAGTAAGAAGCAAACAAAAAATAGTGTTTGAGAGAGGCTTTGATAGACAAGCTGTGCTTAAACATAATTCCAGTACCTCTTCCTTGGGTTCCTCTTCCTCCGTTTCTGTGGACACAGAGGGTACCTTGGGTTTATGCCATGATATCTGTAGTCGTCGGTCTTTGAACTTTAATCCTTGGTTGGCCGCCTAGAGTAGGAATTTTTTTGGGGGGTGGGAGGGGTGGGAAGAGAAGACAATAATACAAATTATGTGCTAAGAAGCAGAGGCTATTTGCTGTTATAGCAGAAGGATCACCATGTGCACTTCCAAGAAGTTTTTCCACTATACAGTGTAATAATCATGCCTATGCAAGGACTCCTGATTTAATGTGGGGTTAGATTTAGTGACCTGGACCTGCTCTGACCTGGTTTGGACCCTGAATCCAAATTGCAGTGCTACCAGTGTTGTAACTAACTGCAACACTAAGACACAAAGCTTTTTTTATTTTTTAAATCCCTGGCTTCAAAGTTATAGTGGTCAATGAGCGAAGTCTAGCTCCCCTCCCGCCTCATACAATGTTGTGTTGCAACATTTTCTGTCTGAGCTCTGAAATGGGCTCTGTCTGTCTCCCTGTTTTGAGCTCTGAATTGATTTGCCTTGATTTAGAGTTGCCTTAACCAGATTTTGTTCAGGGTTTGGCTAAATCGGTTGCACGGCCCAAATAATCAGAGTTTATACTCTCTACTACAAGCATTTATCTGAATCATAATTTAAACAAGCTTATTCATTGGCTGAATTATAAACCAGTGATCAAATATTCAATGCCTTTATAAAAGTAGCACCCTCCAAAATATATTAATGAACCACTTTCCATTCAAGCAGATATTTTAGTGTATCTTAGAGGAGTACCGTAATGTTAGCTTATAATTACTTACATTTTCAGCTTCAGAACGGGATTTAAATGTTAGAACAACACTTAAAGGAGAATCCTCCTCTTGAAGGCCTTCAATATCTCCAAATTTCTGTAAAACACATACTATGAATAAGATCTATGCATGCTCTTCTAGGGCTGCATGTTAATGCACCCTAACTTACTTAAAGCCAGTGCAATATAGTAATAGTGATGGAGTAGAATCAGGGAGTTTGCAGGTTCAAATTCCTGCTCCTTGGACCATTTAATCTCTTAGCCTCAGTCTACTTCATATGTGAAGATCACACATACTTGGGAGGAGAGGCAGAATACAAAAAGTGGGAATATGAGCTCAGGTATATTTGTGTATGCCTGTGTGTGTATTTTATTAGTGACAGAACAAATTTCCAGGGGAGGCAGAAATTGCTCTCCCTCTCCTTCTAAGCATATATGCTTCCTGCTGCTCCAACAGTGCTAATTGGATATCGCCCATATTCTTGCCATCAAAAAGGCTTATGCTCCACCTACATTATGTTTACAGACAAAGACAATGGTGTATTGGATACCCAGAGTGAAATAGAAGAAAAGGAAGCAGAGACCAGTGTTTCTGCTTATTGTCTGTAGATCTTCAAAAACGCTTACCTGTCTATATGTAAAGAAAGGGTTAAAATTGTGGCAGTTCAATGGTATTGGGCTCTCACATGAAAACTGGCTGGACCAGTTTGCTTCAGGAGTAAAAAATAAGTTAACCTCAAGTGACTCAAAGGTTGACTAATATATAAAGGTCATCCAAAACAGCTTTAGACCCATGACAGTTCCACTAAAAGGCATTAAAAACATGTCTTGGACCATGTCGTGACTTGTCTGCGTAAGTAGCTCCCCAAAGATCAGAAATCTTAGAAGGAGGAGGTGGAAGTGGAAGTTACAGCTAGATATTCCTTGAGAGGGTTGATTTCCTTCAGAAGAAAGCTAAATGCAGGTGGATATATGACGCCATTCCATTTCTAATTTCAACTAGGAAGCAGACAAGATTAACCACAAAAGCAACTAACACTATACTCAAAATGAAGGAAGCTATGTTTTAGGGCAGGGATCAGCAAACTTTTTCAGCAGGGGGCCGGTCCACTGTCCCTCAGACCTTGGGGGGCGGCGGACTATATTTTTTTTTTGGGGGGGAAATGAACAAATTCCTATGCCCCACAAATAACCCAGAGATGCATTTTAAATAAAAGGGCACATTCTACTCATGTAAAAACAGGCTGATTCCCAGACCGTCCACAGGCCAGATTTAGAAGGTGATTGGGCCAGATCTGGTCCCCGGGCCTTAGTTGCCTACCCATGTTTTAGGACAATCATAGCTTTATACTATTCTAGAATACAGTACAGAAACCAGAACAATTTAATCTAATTTTAGTTACAAATTGCTGACTTACCGCAAAGTGCTGCAGCAACTCATCTTTCTCCTCTTCCACAAAGCCACCAATGGTTATTGCTTTGGGACGGTGGTCTACCACCATATGATTCACTGTACCTCTCCCTCTCCCTCCCCGACCTCGTCCTCGTCCTCTGCTTTGAGAAGGCATCGATTTTCCACGACCAGCGGGCAAGATACCTAAACGGGCAGCCTACAGACAAAAGGAATACACTTTATCTTCCATGAACATTGTAACAGGTTTCATGTATAATATACAGCACAATTAAGATAGTATATAACTTTGAAAACTTACCTCCACCTGTAACTGGGTGAGCTTTTTCCTTAATTCTGTTGTATCTTCCCCGGAAGACAGCCTTTTATGAAAGTCTAGCTCTGCATCCAAAAGTTCCTTCTGTGCCTTTAAAAGGGAATTGGGGATGGGGTGGGGAGAGCAAAAAGCAAGTTTGTTTGCATTTTATTCCATTTATCTCCATACCAAGGTGTGTTAAGATGCTACCTCTTGGGTTTTAATTCTTCTCACCCAGTATTTAAGGGCTTAGAGCCTTCTGGGTAAAAACAAATACTTGCAAGCTCCCTTGGGCATCTTTTTGGAACTACAAGCGAGGGATATAAAATGTGATAAATAAAATATTTAAAGGTAGGCTTTGACAGTTATAAAACTCTTATTACCCAGCATTGACACTAGCTGTGAGTAGCATGTGACCCCTAGAGGTGATTGGGCAAACTGCAGACTCTCATTAGAAAATCTGCAGATCCCGAGCACTTATGGCTGCAGAAACAGGTTTGAGAAGTTGATAGCGGAATAAAAAAGCAAAGTTTTAGAAACAAAACTGAACGGATTTGTAAAATTTCAATTTCACTGTGTTTACATTGCTCCTGATGAATAAATATCAACATTTTCCCATGGGCTGGCTGAATCAGGCCTTTTATGTTAACAGCTACAGAATTAAAAACTTCAACAAGTTAATCAATACAGCTTGCCACTTGCTATGAAAATGGAAAGGAGGTGCAAGTTAAAAGCACCAAAAATGCACATTCTTGGTCATGAGGTACTTCCATTGTTCATCTCAACGATGAACACGGCATGCTTTCGCAGAGCAATAACTTCATGGGATGCTGCCCAAAAGCGTATTGCAGATACATTGATTAGCATCGATGTGTCATTAAATCCCAATTTCCTGACCAGCAACGACTAAGCCAGCTCTGGGAACTTCCTTTGTGTCTGTGCGTGTCTGTGTGTGTGTGTGTGTGTGTGCGCAGGCTCTTGCTGGCCTTTGCTCAGAAATAAAAGCACTGTGGGCAACGGGACAACATTTAAGGTGAACATCCCTTTAGGGGAAGTGTGGGCACTCTTTGTTTTTATTAGTTATGGATCCTCTTCTCTGAGTGAGGGGAAGGGAAGAGTGTTGGGTAGAGTATCTGTGCGCGAGAGGCAGGCCAATTTCATTATACACTAAGTTTCTGGGGTCATCTTACAGCTTGAATAGGAGTCAGGGATGAGAAACCAGACAGAAGGAGGTGACTGAAACCATCTACTGTGATTCCCTGTGAGGATTAATAGAAGTGGTATAATTTCACATATAGATAGATAGAAGATAGAAGTGATATATTGCATGGAAGGACTTCCGGGTTGACGCGATCTGGAAATGGCGGATTCCCTCCGAGCTCCGGAGGGAACCGGCTCCAATGAGGATGGGTCTTTGCCGCGCCGGCGACGCGGGGACCCTTAAAAACCGCAGGCGCGAAAGCCTGCGGACTGAAGACTCGGCGGGTGCCTTAAGCGCCCCCCCTGATTCGCAAAGAGCCTTTTTAAAGGCTGCGGAGGGGATACGGGGGTGGCGTGGCACTGAGAGTCGATCGCTACCTCGTTGGAGCGAAGCCGCGAGCCAGGACCGGAGAGCGTTGACTTCCTTCCTTGAAAATTTGGACTGAAAGAATTACCCGTGAGTAAGACGGATTGGGACTTTTGAAAAATTTTACCTTTAATTGGAGACGACCGGGGGGTGTGCTAAAAGGAAGTCCGCACCCCCCCCCTTGCAGACCATCTAAGCAACGACACAAGAGATAAGCTGGAGAGCCTACCCTTGGTGGGGTGAGTTAAAAAGGACACTAACTTTCAAGATTTTACTAAAGGAAAATTTTGTGCAGGAGAGTGGAGTTTTGGAAACCTTCCTTCTGTTTTAAACAACCCCCCCTCCTGGGCTCGGGAACGTCCTGCCTTCGTGCCTGCGTGAGAGCTGCGGAGTTTGACAGCTGTCAAAGCTGCCAAACGGGCGGTTTAAAGCGAGAAATTGCAATTTAAGATTTTTATGGACTAAGACGAGTTATAATTGAGCTGAAACTGTTGGAAACAAAGTAATAATAATCAGTTTAAGGATTGTTGGTGAAAAGGCAAATAAGTAACCAGATTCCCCCTAGGGGGAACTCTGTGAAACTACAATGGATACAATGGCTGTGGAAGGAAAGTTACTAGTGGAAATCGAAAGGATGTTTCAATTGGTGGGAATCTTACAGGAGCAGAGTTTGGCCATGAACAAACAACTTGAGACTATGACCTTGGGAACAGGCAACTCTGCTCTTTGTATTGAGGACCTCAATGAGAAAGAATCCACAGCTGATTGGGAAACAATATCTACAGAGCTGGAAGAGACTAAACAACAAGAAAAAGAAGAAGTAATCCTGGGAAGTAATAACCAAAAGTTGACATCTGTGGAATACAAGCAAGGAGACGCTGGGAACATATTCACCACAAGTCTGCGAGAGATACAGAAGAAGAAGGAGGAGGCCCCAAGACGAAATGGAGTACAGGAATTTAAAATAAAGAAATATGATTGGGGTCTCCGTTTGGACTTAGACTTGGAAGAGATAGACTTTGTGGAAATACTTCAGCAGCCACCTTTGAATCTTTTTGTTGGAGGAGGACATACTTTGATGGTGAAAGAACTTTTCCCAGATCTGACGACTGCTGTAAAGGACTACCAACAGGACAGGCGGAGAGGAACGGAAATAGATTTGAAAGCCTCGGACGTGAGGAACCCAGGCTGAGAACTTTGAATTTGGATTTTTATTGGGAAGGGACAAAAACCGGGGATGGGAGGGAGGGAAGAAGAGACTCTTAAAAACTCTCAAGACTTTTAGGTTTGGTTAAGATGACTTTTAATTAAGATAAATTGAAAATCGATGGAAGAGAACTTAAGTCCAACTTATGAAAACTAATTTTTATTATAAAAAAAAGGAAATAAGATGAATAAGATTGTTAAGAGGAGAAATATCAACTTGCTGACATGATCTTGAAACTGGGATGCATTAGGGGGGGTGGGGGGAAGTCAGGGAACAAGGTTATGAAATGGGGATTTGCTGACTTTATACATGTTTTTGTCTTTGTTTTTTCTGTGTGTATGTTTTGTCTTTATAAAAGCAGAAAACCAAATAAAAATTTTATTAAAAAAAAAAAAAAAAGATATATTGCATGGAAGGGGTTCCACATTTTGAAGGGGCTGTTGGCAGGACATGCATGGTTCATGATTGTATACTGGTGGAGGCCTTCTCAACACGTAAGGGAGCATGACCAGAAACCTGTCAAGGCACAGACGCAGCCAGTTGCCCCTTCAACACCTGGATGTCTCTTTATGAGGATAATGCATGAAAAGGTTGTATGATCAATGCTTAACAAAGACCCTCATGCTGGCTTTAATATAGGGAGATAAGTTTCCCGGAGGTACAAATTAGTACAGTGGTACCTCGGGTTACATAAGCTTCAGGTTACATACGCTTCAGGTTACAGACTCCGCTAACCCAGAAATATTACCTCGGGTTAAGAACTTTGCTTCAGGATGAGAACAGAAATCGTGCAGCGGTGCGCAGCGGCAGCAGGAGGCCCCATTAGCTAAAGTGGTGCTTTAGGTTAAGAACAGTTTCAGGTTAAGAACAGACCTCCAGAACAAATTAAGTTCTTAACCTGAGGTACCACTGTAGTAGCTTCTGAAATGAAAACAGCTGTGTGTAAAGAGGACCTACCTCTGTTTTTGACTTCTGTTTTGATGCTGTAGAACTGGCAGATGAAGTTTTCAACTCATCTTTCAACTGAGAGATTTTTCCTGTTAGCTCTTTCAGTGTCTTCATTATATCTGCTCTTTCCTCTGGTTTTGTGGCCTTATTCTTTTCCAATTTTGATATTAACATCTATGAAAGTTAAAATAAAGAGGTGATGCAAGATTGAAAATACTTCATCCTCCACACTAGATAGAAAAGCATGCACCCTTAAAATGCTTACTAGGGGATACTCTGCTACTAAAAATTAAAATTAGACACAACCAAAGTTAATGGCGAAGTTAAATGGAAAAAAAGCCAAGCATACCTTCTGACATTCTATTTGTTTCTCTAACATTTCTTGCTTTTTCTTCCTCATGTCTTGCTGCAGCTTCATTGCCTCCTAATCAAGAATAAAATGCTTTTAGTGAGCTATATGGCACATCCTAATAACAACGGCTACAAAAAAATGGATTTAAACCACAATGTTAGGCAATATCATGAACAATTTAAATGTAAACATGATTCCACCAACTGCAGCATTAGAGTTTACAAGCGAACATAGCTATCTTCAGTTACAGATGCAAGTTGTGCTGTTGGTAGTTAGCAGAGTGGACAGATCCTGACTGCATTCATGGCTCCTGGAAAGCTGTTGCAATAAGCAATATCAAATAAATGTCTTTGGTCAAAATTCAGATTATGTTACATATTCAGACTATTAGTCCTATCACTATGCCTAGAGTTTCTATTCTTTCACACAGCACCCCAACTGCAGCTATTCTATGCTGAATTACATGATGCTTTTGACTTGCGGAAGGCTGAAAAGCTTGTTTTGTTCTTGTAAAATGTGTAATCTCATGTGGGATTGGGGAAGATAAAAAAAGCAATGAAAGTCTTGCTGTGCATGCACAAATCTTGGATAGCTGCTGTAGAGTTCAGACAAACCAACTAACATGTAACAATTCAAGGTTCACTGAAGACCCCCCCCCCTTGCCAACCAAAAGTTTGGCTATTAGCTCAAAAATGAGTATCCCTTTAACACAAAAATATTGAATTACATTTCAAAAGCCAAGGCTCATCACACTCAGGTCTGAATCGTCAAAGAAGAGGAATTTCCCATCTCCTGAATTCCAATCAGAACTAGGGGTAGGACTAACAGGAAAACATGTCACACACTGAACCCCATTTTAAAAACTCATGGCTATGAAATATATTGAAATAATATGCAAACAGTTACCTGTTTCTTTTTAAAAACTTCTTGGACATCATGAGATTTATTTCCTGTACCAGGCTTTATAGACGTCTTCAAATTGGAGGAACTGTAAACCATCTTTGAATGGCCAATTGAAGTGGGAAACATCTGAAAGCAGCAATATATTTTATGATGACATGTGCTGTGGCAAGATGAAGCTTTGTGCAAGCAACTTACTTATGCTGCTTAGAAACCATCTGTTCATAGATGAAACCAAACTATAAGCTATCTCTCTATGATATTTTAAGGATTGTGTGGGGATGAAGTAAAGACTCTTACCAGTAACAAACAGACTGAAGGATAGTAGGAGAATTTTGTCCTTAGGGTTTCAAAGATCTGGAACTAACCTGGCAGATACAACTTTCAAAACTAACCCTATCATTATGAAGGGGAAGACTCCACACAACATCACTCTAAAGAGAAAGGGGATATGTAAGATCTTTTGAATGGGAATTTCCCCCAACTCTCTTAATTGCAGTATCTGCTCCTTAATTGTACTGATTACATATTAAATAGGTAGAGTTAACAAGAATTAGAGTTTCATTTTATAAAATACTTACTATAGTTTAAAGAAAATGTACTTTAAAATTTTCCTGGCAATAGTTGAGAATTTTCTCAATTTTGCCGATATGATTATGCCTTCACTATTCTGTTTCTTCAGATGTTACAGATCAGTCTACAACTACTGAACTGAGCTTTCACTCTTCTCTCCTGCCTTTTTTTCTAACTCTGTTGTCACCTGGAAGGCCCCCAAACCCATCATGTCTTTAAGGCATGAAAGCTGAAATCTTTTAATGCGGGTGAAAAAATTGGGGCTGTTTCTTGAGTTAGCACTGAGCCAGATTATCTCTGTGAATCTGATTTTCTTGATCAACCTGCGACCACTCTGCGGCCCACAAAACACCTGCCTTGACACAGCAGGTGGGTGAGAAGTTTCTAGTCCTTTTTTTTAGGTGGGGGATGGCATGGGATACCCCCCAAATATCACTAGTGATTCTGCAGAAAGAGTGGACTAGTGGATTTGAGGGCTTCTCTGAAAGCTGTAGTAAGACTTCTTAATGTGTTGGCCCTAGCAGGAAATGGTACAATTTGGGCTCTGTTGGACACAGCATAAAATCTTGGACTAGACAGAGAACCCTGCTCAATAGCTGGAGATTTATCTAAAGAAATAGCTGGAGGAAGACAGTTATGATTGTTTCAAACATGACCCCTATCTGCTCTGGATTTCCCCCCAGGAAACAAAAATTGCTGTGCTCATGCAATTATATTATTTAGTTAAATACCACCCTGTGATTCTTAGTTCTGGGAGAGAGCGTTGGTGAGCTTGAAACCTGCGAGGCAGATTTCACTAAGGCACATCATCTGGCCTAGCCATATCCACTGATAGTAGGGTGGTGGGCATACAGTGGTGGTGCATTGGGTTGCAAAGGACACAGTTTATTCATTTCCCTGTTGGATGCTGAATCATGATTAAGTTCAATACAGCAAGGTGAACACCCTTGACAGAACCAGGCAAACCTTAACATCCTAACCATGTTAAAGAAAAGATGTATGAATTTATGATTCATAATACACACTCTCCTTTACCTGAGCATCTTCTGCAGAAGCACTAGACTGGTTAAGCAATAAATGTTGAGCGTCTGGCTGATTTCCACCAGGTGCTCCAAGACGATGTTTAACTGGGGCCTTATTGATGATGTAAGCACCTGATGTCAGTGGCTTTGTTACCTGCATTGTGCATATAACATTGAAAAATGAGCTTTTTAATTTTGAAAACAGACCCACAGTTTTCTAAAGAGCTAAGGAAAAAGAAAAGTGATCAGGTTTATACAATGGCACTATACCTTTGCCATACTGCTGTGCATTGTTACGGCTGGAGGCTGTGGCAGCATTTGTTGCTGCAGGTGAAGCGGGTGATGAAGAGGTGGTGGCGCCTGCTGCTGCTGCTGGGATAGTGGCAATGGCTGCTGCTCATTGTTTTCTCGGTGCCATAGCACTCGTATAAACCGATTGTTCAACACTGCCTCTGTGCTAGAAATAGCTTTTCTCGCTTCATCATTTGTTAAGTACTGAATTAGAGCAGCTTCAGGATCACTCTTGAAGGCAACCTAAGAAAACATGAGGCAACATTACATAACAATACTACATTTTAAAAAGCACCCAAGGTATAATGCTTCAGTTTAAAAGGTTTTACTCCCTAATCCAAAAAGAGATGGATAGTGAACTGTGTATATATAGTATGTATCTGAGTCCCTTCTATGGAAGTTGCCAATCAAACCATTTTGGACTCACAGCTGTCCATGGAGGCGCAGGTCAATTCTGTGTCCAGGGCAGCTGTCTACCAGCTCCATCTGGTACACAGGCTGAGATCCTACCTGCCTGCGGACTGTCTCGCCAGAGTGGTGCATGCTCTAGTTATCTCCCGCTTGGACTACCACAATGTGCTCTATGTGGGACTACCTTTGAAGGTGACCCGGAAACTACAACTAATTCAGAATGCAGCAGCTAGACTAGTGACTGGAAGTCGCCACCAAGACCATATAACAACAGTCCTGAAGGGCCTACACTGGCTCCCAGTATGTTTCTGAGCACAATTCAAAGTGTTGGTGCTGACCTTTAAAGCCCAGAACGGTTTCGGTCCAGTATACCTGAAGGAGTGTCTCCACCCCATTGTTCAGTCCGGACACGGAGGTCTAGCTCCGAGGGCCTTCTGGCGGTTCCTTCACTTCACTGAGAAGTGAGGTTACAGGGAACCAGGCAGAGGGCCTTCTGGGTAGGAACACCCTCCCATCAGATGTCAAGGAAATACAGTGGTACCTCGGGTTACATATGCTTCAGGTTACATATGCTTCAGGGTACACACTCCGCTAACCCAGAAATAGTACCTCGGGTTAAGAACTTTGCTTCAGGATGAGAACAGAAATCGTGTTCCGGCGGCGCAGCGGCAGCAGGAGGCCCCATTAGCTAAAGTGGTGCTTCAAGTTAAGAACAGTTTCAGGTTAAGTACGGACCTCCGGAAGGAATTAAGTACTTAACCAGAGGTACCACTGTAAACAACTATCTGACTTTTAGAAGACATCTGAAGACAGCCCTGTATCAGGAAATTTTTAATGTCTGATGTTTTACAATTTTTATATGTGCTGTAAGCCGCCCAGTATGGCTGGGGAAACCCATCCAAATGGGCGGGGTATAAATATTTATTACTATTATTATTATTATTAAATATGGTTCCACAAGCTATTGAATTGTAAGGTGTACTTTGTTTTTCACACATGACTTTTCCATTTTGGCTTTATTTCTGTAAAATGAATCATGACACAGTGTAGTATGTCATGTGTTGTTGTTCATCTGAGGTTGTATTTACCTAATTTTAAGACCTTCTAAGGAATAGATGACTGTTATTAGGTCTTCATATGTAAAACCAAAGAATTCAAAGAGGGTGCACTTTCTTTTTCTCATGACTGTATCATTGCCAAGTGGTTCTTCAAGCAAGACTCTAAGTTAGATTTATTTACTCTACCAGAGAATAATGCAGTATAGAACAAAGTGGAATATATAGACTAGTCCCAGAAACTTCCTGTCCCTCTTTACATTGCTGTATTACTAACCACAAGTGGCATATTATTGGTTTTACCTGAATGTTGACAATTGTTCCAAATTTGCTGAAATGTTCATTAAGTTGAGTAATATTGTTTAGCTCTGGTGGTATTTTACGAACTTCCAATTTGGTGTTTGTATACTGGTTCTTCTTCAGGAATCCTGGCTTATTCTGGTTATTAGTTTGTCTGAAGAGAAAAAAGATGGATTGACTCTTAACATTAACAAAATTACATTTAAATGTAAATACAACGATTCCCTTTTATTGCCTATAACCATAATGGCTACCTTGCTGTGCTAAACCAATACCCACTAAGCCAAGCACTGTCTTTAAAAAAGACCCGTCAGATACCCCAGGAAGCTCAGAAGCCAAGTAATCTAGCACGGTGTTCCCAGCTTCAAGTAATTCTCTAACTATCAGGTTTTCATTAAAGTATTTCAACTAATATCCATATTAAGTTCCAGTCATTTCACACAATGACAGAGGGTTACATTGGGATGCAAAGAAATATAGTGGTGCCCCGCAAGACGAATGCCTCGCAAGATGAAAAACTCGCTAGACGAAAGGGTTTTTCGTTTTTTGAGGTGCTTCGCAAGACGAATTTCCCCATGGGCTTGCTTCGCAAGACGAAAACGTCTTGCGAGTTCTTGCGAGTTTGTTTCCTTTTTCTTAAAGCCGCTAAGCCGTTAATAGCCGCTAAGCCGTTAATAGCCGCTAAGCCGCTAATAGCCGTGCTTCGCAAGATGAAAAAACCGCAAGACGAAGAGACTCGTGGAACGGATTAATTTCGTCTTGCGAGGCACCACTGTATGCTTAATTCCTTGACCAACACTAGATAAGTTCATTAGACACTAGACAGATCATTAGATAGTTCTGGTCAAATCACTATCTTTGAAGCACACTACATTTTATTGTCAGACTAAATTGACATGTTTTAAGGAAACCATTACATCTACAGAGTTGTGTCTAACCACCAAGGAGGACTTCTAATCACACGAGGATACAGGCTCACTGTTACATGGGTTTGCCGACAAGCATTTGGACTTCAAATGCTGCGGCATTCACTGTACTGACACGATGAACAAGCCGTTAACAAAGATGACGAAGGTGAAGCAGATGTTCCTCTAACCTGCCTCACAATGCTGTTTTGGGAATAAAATAAGTAAGATTTTAAATTTACAGCAGCCTGTCCTGACTCTGGGGAATGAAATGAAAATGACTCAACTACGTTGTCAATATCTGGACATGGAAGTCAAAGAGCTTATCACTGGAAGCCTTCCTCAGCATGGTGCCCTTCAACACCTATCAGTTTCAACCACCATTAACAATGGGCAGGTTTGGTGAGAGCTACAGTCATAATGTCTGGAGGACACCAGGTTGGGGAAGACTGACATTCCAGAAAATAAGGTGTAAAATTCCAAGCCCTTTGCCATATTATTGATTGCTGTTAAATTGCAGTGAGACTTTTTTGTATAGTGACTAACAAACACAATCTATTCTTTGCAACATTATCTTTGCAATGTATTCTTTGCAACACACAAGAGGAATTATTCACCAATTCTCATAAAAGAGTCTCATAAGTCAAACCAAATAATTTTCAAAGGAACTGAATGGGGCTCATTTTCATTCTGCCTGTTCTCTATAGACACAGAAAATTCTTACTTTCCAATCCAGGGTTTCTTTGGAGATGGCCCTTCTACAGTGTTTGAAACCCGCTTCCTGTTGTCTGGCTCAAGCACCACTCTAGATACATTACTGCTGTTACTTGCAATGCCAATTGGAGGTTCAGTCTGGATGATAATATTAGCACCTGGAAAGAAAGCAAAGAATTGTATGCTTGCAATGAAGTGGGAGCAAATTGTATTTATAAAATGGTGAAGTGCAAACATATATAAAACATTTCCCCAAAGGGCTCATAGCTATACTGTCTACAATGCATAGACTTTCCTAAGAAATATATACAATGCTGAAATATATAGGATGCTGCAAGTTCAGGGTTTCTGAGAACAAAAAATGCAAATAAATTGGACAAAATTAAAGATGCTCAGGGATGCAGGTGGCGCTGTGGGTTAAACCACAGAGCCTAGGACTTGTCAATCAGAAGGTCGGCGGTTCGAATCCCCGCGACGGGGTGAGCTCCTGTTGCTCAGTCCTTGCTCCTGCCAACCTAGCAGTTTGAAAGCATGTCAAAGTGCAAGTAGATAAATAGGTACCAATCCAGCGGGAAGGTAAACAGCGTTTCCATGTGCTGCTCTGGTTCGCCAGAAGCGGCTTAGTCATGCTGGCCACATGCTGTACGCTGGCTCCCTCAGCCAATAAAGCAAGATGAGTGCCGCAACCCCAGAGTCGGTCACGACTGGACCTAATGGTCAGAGGTCCCCTTTACCCCTTAAAGATGCTCAGACCAAGTACCACCTGCACATTAAGTTGGGTACAATTCAAAAATCAGGAACACAGGAAGATGCCTTATACCAAAACCAGACCATTTGTCCACCTGGCTCTGTATTGTCTATACTGATTGGCAGCAAGGTCCAGTGCCAGAGAGTGAACTGGGGATACAGAGCAGGTGCTCTACCACTAAGCTACCAACCTTCTTCTAAGTATGCATATGAAAAGTGTACATTGGATATTAACATAATACGAACCACTGTGGGGATTTGGGTTTCTCGGGCTTATTTTACATACAATTATAGCACTTTCTTATGAAGGGATCTCAGGGAAGATATATCTATTATTAGGCACAAACTGCATTTTAGTGCAAATATGGAAAAACTCATGCAGGAGAATCTGGATCTGAGTCCAGACTACAACACACTGAACAGCACTACGAAAGTAATTTCGTTGTCCCCGAGAGGGGGTAATGACAATAAAGATTTATTATTATTATTATTATTATTATTATTATTATTATTATTATTATTAAGTTGTAAAGATGCTAGTGATCATTGTTTGCTTGCCACTCTTCAAATTGTACATTAAAGAAAGGGAAGGAAAATACAAATTAGACATGAGGGAAAGAAATCACTGCACACAGAAAAAGACAGCACTGTCATCAGCACTGGGTTCATTTGCTATGAATGCCAAAGTCTGTAATGCTCCCTTGCTAAGTATTCAGACTTTGAGGGTTTGGGTTTCAGGAAACAACATCTCACCTCTTGGATTTGTATCCATCTCACCAGATGTTAGGCCAATAAGATTTGGACGCTGCATTGGTGTCCTTGAAAAGAACTGTCGATACTGAGATCTACCAGTACTGGTAATACTAGGAGCCTCTGGATTGTAGCCATCTGGTTCATACGTATCTTTTGTGAAAGAAAAATATAGATTTCTGATTCATTTTTAAAAATCTTATGTGAGCAATATTATGCATTTGCTCAAGCAGAAGTGCTTTTTCACATTTTAATATTTTTAACATCTGTTTGTTTTAAAGTAGGGTTGTAAAACTTTCTTGATTTTACTATTTTGTCTTGTGTAAACAACATTGAGATTTTTTTTTACATTCAAGCAGTGTGTAATTTTTATGAAATAAAAAAAATTGCACATAATTCACATGTACAATATATTTATATATAAACGTGTTCAATTTGAGCTATGTAAATATGGCAGGAACCCTGCAACATGCATGTCATAACACAATTTTAAAATATTATTATTACTGTTTTGTTGCTTTACTCACAAAGGTGACCCAAAGGGACTTACAACACAGTATAACAACACACTAATTAGACACCAGTCAGGCTTGCAAAAATTAATCCCACCCCTTTCCCCTTTATGTTGGAAGGATTGTGGAAAACTTGGTTCATTTATTCATGTTTGGTGAGAATGCCCCTATATTGAAAACTTTTGGAACAGAGTATTCTTCATTATATCCGCAATTACAAGCCAACCTTATTCTCCAAATCCAGCCTTAGCCCTGCTATCTTTGGAAAATAGACGGGCTCTACCCTGCACCAGAGAGAACTAATAGGCTTCTTAGTGACTGCAGCATGATTAAGAAAATGGAAGAACCAGGCTGAAATACCCATGAACACATGGGAAAATAATATCTGGGATACAGCAATGTCTGGGCAGCTCACCAGACGCAGGAGGGCAATTAAAGGCATAACAAAGAGATACCTTCCAAGAAAAGTGGACCTCTTTATTTAACCAAAATCAACTGCTCAATCTTCTCAGGGGAGAGGTTACGTTAAGTTATATGTTTGAACATTTAATGTGTAAGCTTATGTCTAAAGTCAATGGATAGAACCACCACCATTTGATGTACTGCTGGATAAAAACCAATAAAAATTGTTGTCTTTTTTTTTTTAAATGATGCTTATTAAAGAAATGAGACCCCACTATTTCAGATGTGCAGTGTAAACAACATCACAAGTACTGGTAGAACACAAGAGAAGTGGAAATCTTTATTTCCTTACGTTCTGATACTGAATATAGTAGGTTTTGGGGTAGTGGAGGAGGTAGTCTAGCTCCCACTGGTGCAAGGCTGGGCACTGTAGTTGTTCCTGGCTGGTCACGGCTGTTAATCAAACTTGCCTGTGATAAAGGTGGCCCTGGAATGAAACATAAACATTCTAAAAAGCTAATTATGTTTTTTCATGCTTTACCACATTACAAAATATGGCTCTTCTTTTGAGGAGCTCAAAGCTAAATACTAATTTGTGTCCTGATTTTATATTGTCTGACCTTGGTTCCCTTACCTCTGGCCAGCACTTTGCTGCCAACTTCATTCATTCATTCAGCTGCTCTGACCATGTGGTGGGCCTCCTTACATCCCTATAACTGGCTTTCTGTCTGCTCCCGTCTCCAGCATAAGCTCCTCATTCTTAGCCTCAAAGCCCTCTGACTTTTTGCCTGCAAAGTGTGTTCCAAAAGAGTTTTGCCACAATCTATTTGTTCATAATATACTAATGCAACCCTACCAACAACTTTCATGATTTCAGCTTCACCAGCCTCAGCTGGGCTAAATTAATCTCTCTTTAATGACCTCACCCTCTCTCTGTCTCCTATGAACAAGACTCTCTCTCTCAAAACAGCTGTGTGAATTCATGTGAGTGTAGGATGGTCCCATCCTCCGTTGGTTCTGGCCCAACCCAGCTTTGTTTTGGTACCACCTCCTGCTGGTATGAAGTCCCCAGATGGGCTGGCAATAAAGAAATGCAGCTGAGGCTTAAAAAGGTTTGCCACCATAGGCTTAGGACACTGGGGTTCTCCAATTTTCTACTACTAGGGCTGGAGAGGACTGACAATTGCTGAGGCCCACTAGTCACAAAATGGTAGCAGATGGAGGTAGAGTTGGACATGATTAGCTGCAATTAACAATAGCATTTTTTATTAATACTTAATCCTATTTAGAAATTGCTAAACTCTTTGCCACTGTGATTTCCTTGTGGCATGGAGTGTTACAATTCTATTTCTTAAAGCCAGGTACACACATTGGCCTTGGAGATTACAGTGTCTTCCCATTTAAGGCAGAATTTGTTGATTCAGAAGCTCTAGGTGAAACAGACTAAACTTTATATTTTTATTCCTGCCCTCAACACCTCTCAAAATATTTTTACTCATCTCCTGCATTTTCTTCTTCTTTTCTCTTTCCACACTTTATTTAAAACTTATGCCTTTCCATTCCAAAAAAACTGATTTCTTTCATTCCTTGATCTTTCTCCATTCACCTTTTTCTCATATGACTGCTTCCTTCTCTTTCCAGATACTATTATTATTATTATTATTATTATTATTATTAACCTTTTATGTCTCCAGTTTTCCTAAAAGACTCCTTTGGCTCTTTCACCTTCGGAAAAGGACCTCCGCCCCAGTAAGCTCTCTGTCTCCTGGCCACCTTTACTCAGCATGCAAAGTTGCTGGTGTTAGGAGGGCCCAACCACAAGGCTACAATATGGACAGGTAGTGGAGCACTGAGGCCACATAGAAGTATAGGCTTGATTACAGACAGTTAAGCAACGTGGTATCATAGTCTTAACCTACATATTTTAATTGTTTTATATTTGCATTATTTACTGCGAGTGTTTAATTTTAACCTATGTATATTTACATGATCTCTATTGCTGTATATGCTGTATATGTTCTGGTCTGTGACCATAATAAATTGATTCATTCATTTATAGTGAATGGCACCAAGCCTTGGTTAAAGCTACAGTGGTGCCTCGCAAGACGAAATTAATTCATTCCGCGAGTTTTTTCGTCTTACGAAGCATGGTTTTGGAAAAGTTTTGGAAAAGCTTCAAAAATCACCAAAGTCTTCAAAAAAGGCTACCACACCGCGTGCTATGAGTTGCTCCTTGAAATCAAGTTGCAACTGTATTAACGGTTTTAAGTAAAAGGAAACAAACTTGCAAGACGTTTTCGTCTTGCGAAGCAAGCCCATAGGGAAATTCGTCTTGCGAAGCAACTCAAAAAACCAAAAACCCTTTCGTCTTGCGAGTTTTCCGTCTTGCGAGGCATTCGTCTTGCGAGGTACCACTGTACTTTTCAATAAACTGGAGAAATTATTTTTCTGTTGTAATGAACTTTCTGTGTGAGCTAGAAACAGGAAGAGCCAGTGGCATAACAATAACAATAGTAACAACTAAAACAACAACACAAACAGCAGCAGCAGCAGCAACAACAACAACAACGGTGTGGTCATTCTGACCTTCCTGACAGCAAACCACATCTACTAAATATTTTCCACCTGTCCGATTACAACAATTCAGAATTTTTGCTTATTATTTCATCAACCTCAATAGGAATGTTGCAAAAAGGGTAGGACTGAAGAAAGAAAACACATTATCCTTGCTGACTGATCCAAAATAAGGGGCTCATCCTTTGCTGTGCAAGGACAGGCTTTGAACAAGTCATATACACATCGGCTGCTTGTTTAAACTGCTGGGTTCTTTTCTTATAATGGTCCATTGAAATAAACGGCCTTTGAAATAATCCCAAACTGATTTTGTTTTGCATTATAACCAATCTCTGAACAATCTTATTTTCCTGCATCCAACAGCTCTCGCACTTTTGTCTGCAGAGGATCTGCAGCTGCTGAACAAATACCCAAGCTGGTCACAGCTTCAGTGAGGGTGCACACAGAAAACGAGCCCATTCTTTCCAGCGTTAAGGAAGAGCCAAATCAAGTCCACTTCAAATTCTAGCCAAATTTCTCTCACACAATTTTTTCCACAATAGCTAAAGTGGACTTTCTATGTTAAATAATGCCTCTGAATATAAAGGAATATGGGAAGCTGTCTTACACTGACTCAAACCACTGGCCTTTCCAGCTCAGCATTATCTATATCTTTGGTCTTCAAGTGTGTGTATGTGTGTGTCAGGCCCCACTACTGCTTCACTTATCTAAGGCAGGAACAGCAGCACTATGGCCATAGAAGCAATATATTAAGAAATAGGTTCCCAAATGCTTGATTGGGTTTGCTATTTGTGGGTTTTCAGGAGCATCTGACTGGCTACTCTTGGAAATGGAATCTAAATTCTTCTAAATTTTTAATTATTCATCTGTTTTAGTGAATGCCCTAAATTATAATCACACACACACAGATATTTTTCAAGTATGATACTTTGTATATCTAGCTGACCTCTTATGATGAGCTTGTACTTTGCTCAAATCTCCAAACCAGTAAATAACCAGTAAATAATTCAAAGACCTTAATTTACTCCCCTGACCCAATTTATCTCAGGATTAGTAATAAGTGACTACTGTGAATGATTTTTTTTAAATAACTAAAACACAGCATTAGTGGACTTCCCCTTAAAAACACATGCACGCAGTGGCATGTTCTCTATTTTTGGTCTGAAACTAAATTTAATCTAGCCAGTTCTTTCTACCATCTCCAATGTTTTAGAGAGAGAAAAAAGGAAAAGCTTTTTCATTATCCAAAGGTTTGAAAAAAGGCCCAACTCCTGAAGAGGGCTGCTAGTTCAGGCAAGTCCAAAAATAATTGCCTTTATACAATAAAGTAAATAGGGAAATGATTTGACATTACTGTTACCTAGGTGCCCAGTCTGTCTGACACCTGGAGCGTGGCCCTTAACTCTTCACCTCCTTTAGCACTGCTCTATAAGTGGCTATGCAAGGCAGAGGACTTCGATTAACGTGACAGAAAACACATACCTTGGCATATACCAGATATTATTAAAAAGAGACAAACCTGCCCTTACTGCCTGGGAAAAGAGCTCCAGCTTGATGCAAATGGGTGATCTGGCACCTGATCTATCCGCCAACTGCCAACACAAGCACATGCTTCTATTTGCCCTGGCAGGAAAAAACCTTACACATCCTCAACATTACTGTCTCCACCAGTCAACAACTGTTTGCATGTCTTAAGGTCCAAGATACATTACACATTATACATTTAAGCTGCAATCCTGCACCATTATGCTGCAGTTATATACCCATGCTTGTATCCAATGGTATCACTAAGCAGAATGGGGGTGACACGAGCCCCATGGAGACATCCTGGTGGAAGTGGTCAAAAGGGAAGGAGGCATGGGACAAGGACAGGGCATTAGAGGAACTGGATCCCTGGAAGAGGTTTAGCAGCTTAGGTGTCCATCCAGTTCCAGGACAGTGGCTGTGTGGACTGACAGCAGAGTGCCTTGGACACCCCAAGCACCACATCACAGCAGACTGATGTGACCCTGGCCCTGTCTACTGTCAGGGATGAACCCTCCTGGGGTGCTGCCTGGGAAAAAATGAGACAGTGGGCCAACCCCGTTGACTCTGCCTCCATCACCAAGGAAGTGGAGATGGCTGCATGGGTGCAAACACGCAGCAGGCCCAGCCTATTCAGAGGACAGCCATCTTGTTTGCCCAGCCCCATGGCTCAACCCATTTAGGGTGTGTCAAGTGTTGAGACAAAATCTTAGTTTCTGTTTAGCCATATACCTAGACCACTGCTGCACCCGTTAACCTGAAAGCGTCATAACCTGACATATATATATATCAAACTGATCTTCACATTAAAGTCTTTGGCAAAAACCTAGCTAGGAGTCCAAGCACTGGATCTACTAGAGGGTCTGGGCAGGAAGAAAACAGTTTTCAGTTATTCCCCCTGCAGCTCCCTCACCCACCCTTAAATGTGCTCAAACCCCAGATTCCTGTAATGCTACGTTAGAGAAATAAAGCACCATTTATGAAATGTTCTCAGCTACTGTGCCGACTGCAGTATTTTAAAGTGCTATTTTAAGGAGGAAATCTTACTTGGTATAGGAATTCTAACAGGTGGTGGCGGCCGAGGATGTACATGTGGCCCTGGCATTCTCATGTTGTGAGTTGGGCCTTGCGCAGGAGGCATAAGCATTCCAGGAGGAGGAAGTCCTGGGGGTGGTGGAGGAAATGGAATCATGCTTGGCAAAGATACCTCATCCACAACCAAGGGGTCATTTCCGTGATCATATTGACAGAGGTCACCAAGTACACAAAATCCTCTCTCTGTAAAAGAAAAATAAATCACAATATAAACCATCATTAATGGTAGCTTGCCTTTATCTGATTGATTATATAGATTACATATGAATGAATTAAAATAGATTACATATAGATTTTAAGTCGAAGTCTCACTTATACTGTGTGGCTGGCAACAACAACAAAATAGTTCAAAACAGCATTCTTAATTGCAAAATCTAAGTAGAACAACCAGGAGTAACACTTACCGTCGTAATCTCGACAGCGTCTTTTTGGTGGAGCGTTTCTGCCAAACGAATTAGGAGCAGAATGATTGTTGTAGTAATTCGACCAGCTTTCTGTTGTGTTTTCAGGATGGTGAGCAGGTGCAATCACAGTAACAGCACTGGGAATACACTGTGCTCCAGAGGAATACTGTTCAGTAGAGTTAACGGAAGACAAAGCCACTGGGTTATATGAGCTCTCCATATCACTCCTTTCACATTTAAATTTGGCTCGATCTCTGTGATCTGAAAAAAAAATGTAATAGATTAGGTAAGTTTCTATGTTCGTCCTTCGTGCTTGGAGATTCTCTGACAGCATACAGAAAATTTAACACCATAACAAATGCGAGAAAAAAAGTATAAGCACAGCCTGGTTAATGTCTTAACAGTGTACTTAGGCTCGTTCTTGCAAGACAATGTGAATATTTGTCCTGCAACATATGCACTAACTAAACTGAATTACTTTAGAAATAAAAAGTAAACTGTATTTTTCAAATAATTTCAATTCCTTTCTTTTTTCTTGAAAGGCTATAGCAACACAAAACCTCAGTTATTTAGGGGCAGGGATCCATTAAAAGTTAAGAAAATCCAACATTTCTTCCTTGCCAAAAGAAACCTAACAATATAAAGCAGCAGCTTTTACCAACAGGGAAACTATAACAGAAGGTACTGCTCTACCAGAATACACCTGAGAACAAATTAAAAAAATATATCCCTAGATTAGGCTGCTCTCACATCACAGCTTTTAGCCAGCTTTATAACAAGTCAGCAATCACTTCTTCTCAAAGGCAATTCTATTTGTTGAATTTGCCAGAAATTCAGGATAAAACGTTCATTAAGAAGTATGACATTTCATTAACTCCCATGAAACTCAGGTTAGACGTTACTTGGCTATAATACTTAAACGACTCACCAACATTTCTGTTTGCATCCCTTTCTTTGTTTGCCTCCTGGTCTTTGCTTCTACCTCTGCTGCGGCTACGACTTCGGCTAAGTCCTCTACTTTTACTGCGACTCTTACTTCTTCCCCTTCGCCAATCGTATTTGTCTCTATACAAATCATTCCGTTCGTAGTATCTATCATAATCTCTCCACTTGCCATCATCTCTTTTTCTCTCTCTAGTTCTATTAAGAAAAACAACACATGCAAACAGGTGGATTTAGAAAAGCTGAAAATGCTTATGGCATCAAAACAGAACAACAGTTTTGACAGACGGAAGTTTGTATGAAGAACTAAACGTAATTATATCCAAGTGACGTCGACATTGGAAAAAACTACAAAAAATGTTAGGTGTAATAGCCTTAAAGAAAATAAACTCCAAATTGTTTGTCTTATTAAGGATGCTAGTATTGCATAAAAATAAAATCATATTAATATGGCCCCCCTCCTGCAGAAAACAATTATTTGCATCCATGGGCACAGAAGATTCAATTCTTTCATTTATATCCCATCTTTCCTGCAGCAAGCTCAAGGTGGGGTACATAGTTCTCCTCCACCCATTTTACCCTCACAATAACCCTGTGAGGTAAGTTAGGCTAAAAGTGATTGTCTGGCCCTCAAGGTGACCTGTTAATGGATTATGTGAGAATCTGTAAAACTTCCTGATCATAATACAAAAGGAGGGGACACATACATTACTAAATTTATCACAAAACTTATTATGATGTCTGAAACAGAGAAGTTTAATTGATTAGGAGGCCAACAATTGCTAACAAGTGTTAAAGAAGAATACTTCAGGTACTAACCTTTGCTCATTAGAATCTGAACGATTTTTCTGTGGGCTAGTATATTTCTTCTTTTTACCCTCTCGCTCATCTTCAAAAGTCTCCTGAAATGGCTAAAGACAAAAAGCAAAACATCACCTCACACGAAGCTCACTCCCAGGGGCGAGGGGGAAGACCCCAAAGAATATAAAAACCCATTTAAGCAATAAGAGAGCAAGGCTCGAGACAAGTCACTGTATACACATTTTAAATTTGCTTCTAGTGTGAATTGTAATGAAGAGGACAACTACAAAACAACCATCTCTCCCCATATGAACCAACCTGGACCCTGCAATCATCACCTGAGGCTCTTCATCATATGCTTCCTCCACAAGAGGTCTGGAGGGTGACAACGTAAGAATGGGTCTGTTCTGTGGTGGCTCCCCCCTCCCCCCAGGGAGGCTTGCCTGGCACCTATTTGTAGGCGCTAGGCAAAAACACTCCTCTTCTCTCAGGCCTTTGCCTAATTAAACAATATATCGTCTTTTAAATGGGGTAGGTGGCCTGCTTTGGTTTGTTACTATGGTATTTATTTTTCTGTTATTATAAACTGCCCTGTAATCCTAGGGTGAAGGGTGGTATAAATATTCAACAAACAAACAAAAGTCCATCATCATTTTTTTAAATAATTGTTACCTTTAAAAAAATTTATTTAAATTTTGAAACTGCTACAATTTAGGTTTAAAAAGATTGCCTTTACAGTATAACTGTGGAAGCACTCATAATTTGTTGCAATATTCCTTGTGTTCAACAAGGCTGGATTACTACTTGGACTCAGAAGACTTCCACAAACTGGGCGGGGCGGTGGTGTCACAACTAATATGCTGTTTTATTACTTTCATTGGGTCTATGGGGAGAAGTCCATGAAGACATTTCAAGGCTTTAAAATGTCAAAACTAGAATTTCAAATTGGGGCCTGAAACAAACTGGCAACCAGAGCAGTCGGGCCAGAATTGGTGTGTGTTATGTTCATGCTTCCTTGTTCTAGTTAACAATCTAGCTGCCATGTTCTGAAATAACTGTAATTTGGAAACTGTATTCAAAGTCAGCTCAATGTATGACACATTGCAGTAGTCTAATGTGAAGGTTACCAGAGCACAGACAACTGAAACCACGCTCATGTCTAGCTGGATAGGAACACAGCTGAGCTAGCTGGCAGAAGGCACTCCATGCCACTGAGGCAACCTATGCTTTCAATGACCAAGTTGGATCCAAGAGTACCATCAAGCTGCGCACCTGCTTCTTCAAAGGGAGTGCAACACCTTCAAAAAGAAGATGCATTCTACTCATGCAGACAGAGGACCTGCACATTACCAGTGTCTTAAGTCTTATTTGGATTAAGCTTCAATTTGTTGGCCCTCATCTAGCCCAGAGTTCCATGCAGTTGTTAAAAAGAATGGGAGATAAATTTGAACTCTGTGCTTTGGAAGCTTCATGCAGCTGAACAATATCTTCGAAGCACTACCTTCTGGAGAGAACAAACCAAGTAGGAACAAAGCCTATTCTCAACTCTGACAGCCTCTCTGTAAGAATATTATGGTCAATGGTATCAAAAAGTGCAGGGAGGTCAAGAAAAAATCAATATGGCCACATCCTCCCTGTCCCTTTCCTGACACCAGGCCAACAAAGGCAGTCTCAGCAACAAAGGCAGGCCTGAATGCCAACTGAAATGAAAAATCAGTCTCATCCAAGAGTTATTGGAGCTATTTCTGGGTTATTAGTTTTCATAAGCAGAAGAGCTGAAATCTCTAAACAGTCACTGAGAGGAGCTCTGCAAAAAGTTTGCAACAGTCTAACTCTGTAATCTCAAAGCCATTAGCTTTCATTACATGATGCAATTCAAACTTTCTAAAAAGTTTGTGGAAGAAAGACAACAATCTTTTGATATCTAAGAGAATTTAGAATTAGAAATAAAAATCACCTCTAACATTACATGAAATACAGGCATATGAGATGGGGGAGGAGCGGGACTGTGTGGTGTGGGGATATCATGTCTCATTTGACCTTATCTAAGTATAGCCAAATACTTTGCTGTAATATGTCCACCACTTACATCAGATCAGCCCGTCTGAGCTATGAACACATTACACTTTAACTGGTTTATTTCCTCCACTACTTACTCTTAAACAAGACACCCCTAGTACTATGAAACTGTACAATCTTAGAACAGCCAAGGTTGTAGGATTTTAGCAAGCAATGTATGAAGTCAGGATTCAGGATACATAACAGCATGCAGGGGTACTTGAAGTTGTGGACTCTGGCAGAGCGCCTCTCTTTTCAAGTAAACTTTCTCAAAAAGCAGAAGGTTGCAGAGGTCTGGTTATCTGGCTTCAGAATCAACTTTAAAGCCTGGTTGCACTCCCTTAATAGGAGTGACATTAGATTTAATAGGTTTAGGCACTGGGTGTGCTGACTGATTCAGCTTCATCATTAGAAGGACAAGTGTAGCATGGAGAACCTTCTACCAGTTTAGATTGGTACAACAGTTACAACTGCAACTTTGCTGCACTTGCAGCACCGATGTGACCTCCCAGGGGCACAAGCCTGGGTAGGGTGTATGGAGGTCCTGGGCTGCCATACGACAAGACTTCCCTCTCGGTCTCGCCGATGTTGTCCAAAAGAAATCAGAGCAATACATTGGGCACCTGTTTGGCTGCAGGAGTTACTAGGAGGAGGCATACAAGACACCATCCAACTGCCTTAGGCACCCCACTCTGGATTTGTGTAGAGTTTGCTCCTTAAGACTTTTATACTCCTAATTATGTCCTGCAAATCAGTGTGCATAGATTGTTCCTCAGGGTTTACTCCTGAAGCCTTTCATACAAATAAGTATAGCTGCAAGGTAGAGACGGTTTAGGATCAGTGTTTTCCTTCTCCTAGATGGGCTACCCTCCCAGGTTGACAAGCCCCATCAAGGACAACTGTAACTGGACAGATAGTTTAACTTGTTATCCACACCATGGTAACCACCTGTCTGGATTATGCAAGATGTTGTGTGTGGGCCTGTCTCTGAAAATTGTCCAGAAACCTCAGTCAGAATATGGCTGCAAGGTTACTAAGTGAGAGAGATGAGAACATTGCACCAGTGCTCATCACCTTCACTGGCTTCAAATCTGTTTCCAGGCCCAATTCAAAATGCTGATATTGACCTTCAGTCTTTTATGGCTGCGGGACAGGGTACCTGGAGGATTGCTTCATTCTATATGCACCTACAAGTCTTTGGGAGACCCATCACTGGGTGCTTCCACCAGGTGACTGCAGAGAGCATGGTATTATAATTTTGGTACCACATGAATACCTCTTTTGTTACCCAAGAAAATCTTTTAATAAAAACAATTTAAAAAATAATAATAATCCAGGACTTTCAAAGTCTTTTATAGCTTTAAACTGTTTCAACCTTATTATTTTATTCTCATCTCCTTGTATTTTGGGTTGCATTGTTTTTAACTGATACTTTTTATTTCACTACTTAATCAATTTTAATTTGCTTTCTTTTATGTAGTAAGCTGCCTGAAGAACCTTGTTACAGAGTAGGCTATAAATAAATGTAAAAGCACAGTGTTGACACCTCAAGTTTACCAAGCCATTCATCATCTAAAAGGGCTGAACTATGAAAGAAATTTTCACTTTGCTAACTGCCATACATAGCTTTTCAAAAATGACGTGCATAACTATTAACAATGGATCTGCACTATAAAAGATAGTGAAACTGTCACCTGCATGTGTGTGTCTACACATGTACGTACACACACCAGCTTATCTGCTGCCTTTGGATATTAAAGGGGGAAAACTTCTCATGTTTCTAATAAAGCTAGACTAAGGCTGCAATCCTATAATTGCCTGTCAATAAGTCACATTGACGCGGGACGCGGGTGGCGCTGTGGGTTAAAGCCTCAGCGCCTAGGGCTTGCCGATCGAAAGGTCGGCGGTTCGAATCCCCGCGGCGGGGTGCGCTCCCCGTCGTTCGGTCCCAGCGCCTGCCAACCTAGCAGTTTGAAAGCACTTCGGGTGCAAGTAGATAAATAGGGACCGCTTACCAGCGGGAAGGTAAACGGCGTTCCGTGTGCTGCGCTGGCTCGCCAGATGCAGCTTGTCACGCTGGCCACGTGACCCGGAAGTGTCTGCGGACAGCGCTGGCTCCCGGCCTATAGAGTGAGATGAGCGCACAACCCTAGAGTCTGGCAAGACTGGCCCGTACGGGCAGGGGTACCTTTACCTTTACCTTTACCTTAAGTCACATTGAACTCAAGGGTGCTTGCTATTGAGTAGATATGTATAAGACTATACTGCATGGCTTCAATCCTATGCACACACTGGGACACACATCTGAACAAACATGCACAGGATTGGCACCAAGAGACACAAGCAAGTGACAAAGAAATTTAACATTACCTCCTCTTTGATTTCTTCCTTGACCTGACACACAGGCTTCAACTCTGGCTTTGCTGGTTCATTGGGAGCTAGGTAATCCTTGGTGTATAGGCTCTCGAAGAGTTTATCAACAAAGCCTGAGGTTTCTGGAAGAGACATACAGAAAAAAGGAATCATTCCAAAAGAGATCCTACTCCCTAGTTTTATATTAATCACACTTCTGCTCTTTTGATCCAGGCCAGTTGAATTCCTTGTGCCTGAAAGAGCGCTGGTCTAGTTTTCTCATTAGCAAAAAGTCTGCCATGCTACACTGCAAGTCTCTTTAAAAGTAAGGAGTATTTAAAAATTAATTTGCCAAGTGACACGGAGGTCTACCATTTGAAGGAAATGAAATGTTCCACAAAAGTACACTCTTGTATGGTGTTGTCCTCTACCTAAACTAGCCCATTGGATCTATGCCATATGTTCTCAAAAATGCATTAAACCTATTGGTTAATCATTTTGTGTACAGAAAATGATGGTGTAAGTGTTGGTGTAAGCAAATGGAGCTTGACGATTCCTTCCAATCCTGGAGTTCCAAAGCAGCGGTGAAGATGAATGCTGCCTCCTCATCAGCCCCATAGTTAGGTGCATATAATTTATTTTGGCTTTGCACCTGCCAGGCCCAAGAACAGGATCATAAGCATCCTCTACAACCTTCTTGGAAGCGAGCCAACTATAGTTTGTGAGCTTTCACCATAGTTAAGATCAACCAGTCTACGGTTCAGACAACTCACTAAACTGTAATTAATCTAATTACATTTTAGTCAGTGCTAAACTATGGTTTTGGGACATGGGTGGGCTGTGGGTAAAAGCCTCAGCGCCTAGGGCTTGCTGACCGAAAGGTCGGCGGTTTGAATCCCCGCGGTGGGGTGCGCTCCCGTTGCTCGGTCCCAGCGCCTGCCAACCTAGCAGTTTGAAAGCACCCCCGGGTGCAAGTAGATAAATAGGGACCGCTTACTCGCCAGAGCAGCGATGTCATGCTGGCCACGTGACCCGGAAGTGTCTCCGGACAGCGCTGGCCCCCGGCCTCTTGAGTGAGATGGGCACACAACCCTAGAGTCTGTCAAGACTGGCCCGTACGGGCAGGGGTACCTTAAACTATGGTTTAGTATTACCCTGAAATGCAGCCAATGTTTTGCGGCTTATGTTCAAACACTTTGTGATTCATATTTGTATTTCATAGCTAACACATGCTACACTAAGTTAGAGATGAACTGGTTTGTGCCATAATAAAATTGTGCTCTAGTTACTTCTATTTTTTTGTCTTCATAAGTTAATATGGATACTTTTTGGCCAATGTAAAGATGTATTTCTCCAGTAATTGTGCACAGAAGTTAAAACTATCTGTGACGGGGGGGGGGAATGTTTCACACTCTTATATACTGCTTAATTGTAAATAGGCAAAGTTCCTTTATGAGTACAGTACAATTGTTTTACTGAGAAGTTTATACAGTTGGAGCTGCTATCATATAATTAAGCTCCATCTAGGTGACCCTTGGGGTCCCTTCAGACTCTACAAATCTATGATTCTATCTCCAGGTCTCCTACCTAAAGTTTCCTACCACCATATTCACAAAATCCTGCCATTAGCAAGAAATAAAATAAAATAAAAATCACAGCAGTACCTTTTTGCAGAAAGACATCTAGCTGATCAGCGCAGAAAGCCTTCAGTTCTTTTTCTGGTTTATCTTTTTTGACCAATGCCACAACATAGTTAGCCAAGGCTGATGGATCGGCATCACATCTAAGGAAAAAAATACTGCTATCGTTATGTAACTTACAGCATTATGAGTCTAATACACAATGAAGCATTACAATGGATTCCTCTTCAGTGAAAACATGTCATTAAGCATGAATATCTCCCCTCATTATTAAGTAGCATGTCCCACAAATTTTAGTGGGCCATGCTTCCAAGTACATATGCTTAGGCTCAGAGCCTTAGAATGAAGTCTTCTAATTCAAGGGTGGATAGAACATCTTGCTATTGTTTTAATTTAACTAGTGCTCGATACAAAAATAGAATTGATACAAAAATAGAAATTATGTTGAACAAATGCTATACAAACAAACAAGCAAACCTACTACTTGGTATGATTTTGACAGCTCTGTGGAAGAACTAAGAACATAAAAGAGCCCTGCTTGATCATGCCAAAGGCCCATCTAGTCCAATTCCCTGTTTTCACCATGGCCAACCTATGAGAAGCAAGCAGGGCATGACTGCAGCAGGGCTCTCCCCAATTCTGATTTCTACAGTTGAGCAAATAATCACTATTCTACCCTCAAAGTATCCTTTCTGAGGTTTTTAATTCAGCTGAATTAAACACTTCCTCTTGGTCCTGGATGCTGAACCACAAATGGCTTAATTACCTGGGCAACTGGGCCATAGCAAAATGGTACGGCATATGATTGGCATGCAAAGAGTATCAGTTTAATGCCTGGAGACTCCAGTTAAAGTCTAGATGGGACCTCGGCATGAGACTCAAGACAGCCAACTCAACAATAATGTGAGATGGACCAAAGGATCTGGCTCAGTATAAGGTAGCTGTAGATATTCAAGAAAAACATACAGTAAGTTTGAGACATTTTTCTACTTTTCGTATGTTAAATGAAGCATGTTTTTATGACCAGTTCTGAAACCAGGGCTGAAAAAATGCATGTTGATCTAACAAGGACATAATATTCAAAGCTAGGTTTCAGCAACTGTATTTACATACAGCTGTGACTGCAAGCATAACTCCAACAACTATCAATATTAACCAAATATGTAATTTAGCAGATTAACCAAAATGGTTTGCCCAGAAACTACTATGCACAACTAAATATACTGGGTGAAATTTAATGTTGCGCTATGATAAACATTCAATCTGCACAAGCTTATCCAGTAGCCAGAAGGAACGATTTATTCTACCCCCACCCCTGTACTAGGGGTACTCCTAACCCTCCTGAGCCAATTTCAGGGGCAAGCAGGGGGAGGAGAGTGGGGAAGCCCCATTGCACAAACAGAAGCCCTTGCCTAGGACTTTCACTCATAGAGTTTGCTAGGTGAATCCCACCCACAGTAAAGAATTTAGGAACTTTTCATGGTCATAATTATGCAAGTCTGTAATTATGGATTAAATGCCAAAATTGCCCAGAAATGCAAATGTGAAATTGCTACTTCTTTATTGTTTTAATAAATCAGAATTTTGTAGTAGTTGAAATAGGAAATGCATATTAAAGCCAACAAAAACACAAAGGCAGTATAATTAGCACTTGAAATGTCTTCAAGGAACTGGG